CAGGTGTTTGGGAGAACACGTGTGTAAACCCCCCTCCCTTTTCAATAATCTCCCATTTTAAATCTTGTTATGTCTAATGAATAATCAGCAGCTTTCCGGATAACCAAAGAAAAGTCATTTATAAATGTAGATTTAAATAAAATCATATATGTTTATATCTACTTAAATTTCTTTATTCCCTTCATTTTGATTATAACCACCTAATCAAAATGATATCAGGTTCGAAATTATTGAAATTTCGAGGCACCTCATGTCTTTTCTAATAAAATAATTGGGTAGTAAAAACTAAAAGAAAAAATATAAGCCTCGTTTATCGCATTCGGATTAAGTACACTAAAACCAAATGTTGTAGGTACTGGTTTAACGAGGAATTAGTTTGATTGAAACTCCCAAGTTGTAGATCTACTTATCACCATCCTGAAAATAATTAAAAAGATTCTGAATACAGACGTATATATATATGTGCATACATTCATATATGTATGCCTTCAAAAATAAACGCCTATACACGCGTGTGTTCATGTATGTATATACAAAAAATTCACAAACGGATTTGTATGAATACACATACATATGTATAATAATATATATCCATATGTATATAAATTATTTGCTCGTTATTTTTCAAATAATCTAGAAGAGGGAGGGGATAGCACATGTTAAGAGAGAGAGCGCGAGAGAGAGAATGATCGGGTTAGGTAGAAAGATCGATACAGAGAGAGACTAGATAGAAAAAGCCATACGAAGAGCGAGGGAGAAGGGGAGTGGAGAACGAGAAAAATAGAGTATAGCCCACATTTGTAGAATAAACACCGGTCTAGAAGTAAACGTCAGTGAGCACATGGCTGATGACGTCACAGAAGAAAGTACAAACTACAACCATTGCATGGAGTGTCAAGATTTTTTTTTTTTCCGGGATGTCTCGGTCTATATTGAATTAAGATTGAGCTGAAACCGCACACGAGGATTTCGTTGATTCTCTAACCTCTGACCTTTAGGAAACTGATATAGAAGAACCACTAAGATACAAAGTGATAATAATAACTGTTACTGGGGTTCTGTCACGTGACTGAGACAACTATTTTAGCAGAATGTTGGTATCTTCAGAAATACTTCCCCATTACTAGTTTCCGCTCTTCAAATTCCAATCCCTTTAAAGTAATTCCTCTTATATTTCGCCATCACTTGCATCACTCAGTGTTCCTCTTTTTTCTATCACTTCTAAGCTATTTTATGTAATTATTTTCGTAAATTCTCTGTTTCTTGGACATCTACATGAATGGATTACACACACACACATATATATCTTTGCGTGAGGGTGGGTACGTACGCATACGTGTTTGAAGAATATACGAATAAATAGATACGCATGATCGTGCATGTAAATGGGAAGAGATTCTCAATATTATCATTTTCAGAACAAAGATGACCAAATATTATAATACTTTGCAAAATCTCTGTTGAAACTGTTGCCTATATTATGTATTTTACGCAACATTCGTAATACAATAAAAAAAAATACTAATATATGAATTAATGAATGAAACATGACCTAGAAAGATAAGATTTGCACACGTGTTCTCCCAAACAACTGTCGAAGCAACACTTATCGAGGCCAGCACACTTGTAGTCGTTGGAACAGGTTGTGGGGGGCCCATGGAAACGTGGACATGTGGGACGGACCAGTGGCTTGGTATCAATAGGTGTCTCTGGTTCGTGCACCGTCTCGCAGCAATAGGCTTGACCTTACGGAGTCTTGCACCAATACCTGCATTGACTTGTGCCAGTGGAGATTCCAACGCCAACAATACTACTACCGCCGTGGAATCCACCATGAATTCCGCCACCATGAATACCGCCGACAAACACATTGCCTCCATGGACGCCAGGAAAGAATCTGTTGGATCCTTGTCCTTCTCTACTTCGGTCTACACCGACGGAGACGGCTACCAGGAGGCAACATACAATCACGGCTTTGATGCTCCGCAAGTTGAGAAAACGAAATTATTCATCATGCTGAAAATTGGTTTATCGTTGCTAAGGTAAAATAGTATCCTATTGACAACTAACCACTTATTTTCATTAGAATATGAACATCCGAGTCTCTAAAAACGGTTGAATATAATTATGACTCATCTTGTAACAAGCACTCACATTCATTGTTGGTTAGAGTTTAGCGGCGTAATGTGGAGAGTAGGAGATGCAGGAACTGGCGGCCACCTCCCTCCCCCTCCTAACTTCACCTTGCCAGTCGGGATATCCCAAGACGGCGGCGTGAATTTCCACGTATCGTGTCTGCTTTTCCAGTTCACTTCTTGCGAAATACAATTTTTCTTTCCTTTATACACCGATGACAAAGAAGAAAATGTAAAAATGGGTATAAGTAAGAAGCTTCCATGGCCAGCCATTTATAACATTCATTGAAGGATTTACCATAACTACTGCTAAAATTACTACAAACCATTCTGCTAAAATAGTTGTCTCAGTCACGTGACAGAACCCCAGTAACAGTTATTATCACTTTGTATATTAGTGGTTCTATATAAGTTTCATAAAGGTCAGAGAATCAACGGAAATCCTCGTTTGCGGTTTCAGCTCAATCTTAATTCAATGTAGACCGAGATATTCCGGTGAAAAAAAAAATCTTGACGTTGGCAACACTCCATGCAACGGCTGTGCTTTGTACTTTCTTCTGTGACGTCATCAGCCATGTGCTCAGTGAAATTTATTTCTAGACCGGTGTTTATCCTACAAATGTGGACCATGCTCTTTCTTTCTCTTTCTCCACTCCCCTTCTCTCTCGCTTTTCGTATGGCTTTTTCTACCTTGTCCCCCTTTCTCTCTGTATCGATCTTTTTACTTAACTCGATCTTTCTCTCTCTCGCTCTCTCTCTCTTAACATGTGCTATCCCCTCCCTCTTCTAGATTACCTGAAAAATAACTAGCAAATAATTTATATATATATGCATATATATTTTTACATATATACTGATATGTATTTGTATTCAGATATATATATATACAAATCTGTCGGTGAAAAGTTTGTATATACATACATAAACACACGCTTGTATAGGCGTTTGTTTTTGAAGGCATACATATATGAATGTATGCGCATATATATGCGTCTGTGTATTCAGAATCCTTTTAATTATTTTCAGGATGGTCATAACCAGATCTATAACTTGGGAAAGTTTCAATCAAACGAATTCCCTGTTAATCCAGTACCTACATCTGGTTTGTGTACTTAATCCGAATGCGATAAACAAGGCTTTTGTTTCTTTTAGTTTTTACTATCTTAGTATTTAATAAGAAAATTCGTGAGGTGCATCAAAATTTCAATCATTTAAGTAGATATAAACATATATGGTTTTATTAAAATCTACATTTACAAATTACTTATTTGTCTTTGGTTATCAGGAAAACTGCTGATTATTCATTAGACATAAGATTTAAAATGGGAGATGGTTATTGAAAAATGAGGGAGGCTTGCACACGTGCTCCCCCAGACACCTATCGAAGCAACACTTGTCGAGGCCAGCACACTTGTAGTCGTTGGAACAGGTAGTGGGGGGCCCATGGAAACGTGGGCATGTGGGACGGACTTGTGGGCAATCCTGTGGCTTGGTACCAACAGGTGTTTCTGGTTCATGCACTGTCTCACAGCAGTAGGCTTGACCCTCCGGAGTCTTGCACCAATATCTGCATTCACTTGGGCCATTGGAGACTCCACCACCGATAATACCGCTACCACCGTGGATTCCGCCACCATGGATTCCGCCTCCGAAGAGACCGCCACCGTGGACGCCACCGAAGCCTCCAGGAAGGAATCTGTTGGATCCTTGTCCACCTCTATTTCGGTCGACACCGGCGGAAACGGCCACCACGAGGCAACAGACAATCACGGCTTTGATGCTCTGCAAGAGATAACGAAATTAATGACCAATATATACATATGGCAACATTTTCAGCAGTTCATGAACATCTTATTTTATATAAGATGATATTAAGCATGAAACACTATAGTTGCTACTCTCCTAGAATATACTCACATTCATTGTTGGTAAGAGGTGAGCTGTTTAGTGTGGCGAACGGAAGGTGCAACCTCGCTTATATACAGGATCTGGCTCCCGCCCTCCCTCCCCCTGCTCCCCCGCTTTGCCTGTCGGGATATCCCGGGTGAAGCGGTAGGAGCAGAGTATGTTTTCCCTTTTTCTGTTTTGTCTTGTTTTCTTTTGCTTTTATATTGGGGGCATTTTTTTGAATATCTCATCTTCGCATTGACTAAATATACGAATATTACACCGGGGTAGACAGTTTACAGAAGATGGGAAGTATCTATACATCTGTGCATTTATGTATATGCATATATGTATGCATTTATATACATATCTATTTATATATATACGTACATAAGTATTAATACATATACATGTATATAATCATATAGTCTGTATGTGCTTACTTACACACACATATATATCTAAGTATATACGCATATATATGTATACACATAAAATGTATGCGTATGTCTGCGTATGTATACTTGTGTGTGTATATATAAACATATATATGTATATATACACGCATGTGTATATATATGCATATATATACATATATATACGCATGCATATATATATATACATATATATGTATATATGCATATGTATATATACATGTATGCATGGATACACTTGTGTGTGTGTACACGTACAAATATATAAATATATATATATACATATAAACATATTATATATGCACACACACATACATATTATATATACATACATACATACAGTATGCACACACTTTCTCTCTCTTATGCACATACAATTCTTGCATAATAATGCATATATATATGTGTGTGTGTGTATATATGTACATATATATGTATGTACACACGCACACACATGTTTGTATTTATAAATGTTTCTGTATATATGTATGTGTGTGTGTGTGTGTGTGTGTGTGTGTATGATATTTACATATATATTCAGTCATCCCGGTATCCAAAAGGGAAGGATAGAGATTAACTGTGAAACATTTTTCAACTTTTTTTCCCTTTTAAAGTTGGTTATCTTACTTGAAGAATAGACGGTCAGATGATATTTTTCCACGTGAAATCTGCAAATTATGTATCGAAACTTCAAATAATGAATTTATAAATGCCTATAAGCTTTATTTAATTCCATTAACCCTCGTTTAAATAATATATCCGACGCTTAGAAAAGTCATTCTAACAGATGAATTTTAAATTTCAACGTTATCAATTAAAAAACTATATTTCTATTAACATGAACTTGGTAATACTATAGTGAGAAAACAGCAATTAATGACAGGGCAAAACATTTTTTTTTGGAATATCCGAATTATATTTGAGTTGAGTACAATTGCCGTGCGTCTAACGCGAAACAGAGAAATCTGCTTAAAATACACATGAAAAGCAAGGTTAGACCATCAACTTATACATGAGATGAAGACTGGTAATCTTCCAAGATCTTTGACTTATCAAGCTACCGGTTAGTGCAGAGTCAACTGGTTCTTTAGATGGGTTTCTTTGACGAAATTTAGTGTATCACAAGAATAAAACGTGGTTGAAAAGGGAAAGCAAAAGAAAGCAAGGAAGGTAGAGAAGAAGGAAAGGAAATGCGTAAATAAATGCAGCATAAAAGAAAAAGAAAGAAAGAAAAAGTTCGATTGTAACAACAGATGAAGATGAAGGTGACACACTGTCATCACTGGTTCATGAGAAATTCACCCGAGTGGGACTTCCTTAAACATATACACATGGCTATCACTGCCTGCTAAGGAAAGGAATGCAACATGTATTGAAAATCATCCTACTCAATCGCCTCCTCTCCTCTAGAGTGTGCAGACTGGCAACTGTGACGTCACTGAAGATGTGGCGGATGACGTCACGGAAGAAAGAACTAGTCTTATGGCCAGCGCAGAGTGTTGGCATCTTCAGAAATACCCATTTTTTAAAAAGTGCAATTTGCTTCTATCATCCGGTAGTCTTTGATTGTAAAAACTTTCTTTTGCATTCGTACTCTTTTAGTTTCCGTTCTTCAAATTCCAATCCCTTTAAAGTATTTCTTCTTATATTGTCAAAGTTTTTACACAGCAGTGATGAAGAACATACTACATATATATAAAATATGAACATTCGGAAAGGCAAATAAATGAAGAAGGCAATGACGATATTTAGAACAAAAACATACAGATATCTTATAGTTTATTAAAGCTTGAGCTGTGCTCTGTTTTCTACATTTTTACTTGTATCTAAATATATTTAACAAGACAGATATCCTATTTCTGATTAGGAACGAATCAAGTACCCCATATTAGAATTTCTAGCTAAGTTAAAAGGAAACGGATGACCATAATGAGAGGTGTATAAACATTTGTATTTCCATCGACTTGTTTCCCGTCTTCGCCCCTTCCCCTTCTCACTTCATTACTTCTGGTTTTCTGTCCGTCTATCTATCTTCGCTTTCTTAGGATGCCAATAGCATATCTTCCGGCAAATATCCCGAAGGAAAAACATACTTCTATTATGACTGGACTAGACCTGGATGCTGTGACGTCATCGAGTTGAACCCGAGCTACCGCCTCCTCTCGTCTTCAGGCATGATCCGGATATTTCCTGATTGAATAACCTGGCATTTTCTTTTACGCAGCCAACTCATTCTTCCGGTATAAGTAATAATAAGGATGAAAATAGAATTAATGCTAATAATGTTAACGATAGGAATATTTTGGGTATTAATAATTGTAATGTTAATAGTGATATCAGCAATCATAATGAAAAAAAGGATGGAATGTCTGATAATCCTTACAGTACAAAAACAACACCAAACGATATCAATGATAAGGCAATAAAAAATAGTTAATGCAATAAATCAAAGCAAATAACAACACAACAACAATGGTTATGTAGTGGATGATCACAATTTTGAAAATAGACTAACAATGTTAATAATGATACTGATAGTCATATCAAGAATATTACTAAAAATACTGGTACAGATAACTTTACTTTGGTAATGCTAATATTTATACTAATACTGATTTAGCAATTTACTTTCTATTTTTGGATTTTTAAAAATTACTTCACATTTTACCGTATGTTCTTAATTCTACTATTCTTTATTACTATTATTTTTTGTTAATTTTCATGATTTCCTCTCCTTTTTTAAAAATCTCTTTTTGCTTTTCAGGGGAGAGGCATTTCAGTCTGAGACCTTGGTTTCTACATCTGTCCCTTTCTTGATGTTTGTCTGTTTTCTCATCCCTGTTCTTTCTTTGGTTTCTTATCCTCAATTAATGATAACCTTAATCATGGGTTTTTGTTCTCAGTCGATAATCAGTCTCTTAATGGTCTTATTTCCTCAATCACTGATCACTTTATATATATATATATATATATATATATATATATATATATATATACATACACACACGTGAGTGTGTCTGTGTAGTATATCTATCCATCCATGCAAACATATATACATTTCTTATGCTAAATCAATGATCAATTATTTTTCATCATCTCTTTCAGTGACCATCAGAGGTAAAGAAAAAGGGAAAAATACAATGTTTAGTGAAACTGAAGCAACTCCGTAGATTTCATGTTAAGAAATATCTAGAAACCCATATAGTGTAAGGTACGATACCTTTAATTTGGTGTCATAATGAATTATATTCCGACTTGGCAATGGGAGAGTGGGGTGGCCAGACTGCCCATCAGCATACCTAATATGATTTTATACAAGTAGTAACCTATTTAAACAATACTGCAAAATCAGTGCAGGGCATGGTGAATGATTTTATCATCATATCCGGAATAGCGTGTTGTCTCCTTCTGGCTTTCCGACGATGCAGACTGAAGGAGAAAAAGACGAAAAAGATGAATGTGTATATATATATATGCGTGAAAGATGTAAAGAAACATATGAATATTACATATTTATCTGATGTATCCCTGCCCACAAACAAACATGTTTTGAGCGTAGATAAGTAGACAGAAATAGATACTTCTTACCTTCTCGGTTTCGTATAACTATAAGATATTAAAATAATAATAATAATAATAAATCGGAAACAATCCGCAAAAACAAAACAAAAAGCTGGGAAATCATAAACTGCATGTTACCTAGAAGCTGCTACCGCTTACTCGGGATGTCCCGATTGGCAAAGCGGGGCAGCGGGAGGGCGGGCGGTAGCCAGGTCTCGTATATAAGCGAGGTTGGAACTTGCTCTCACCACATTACACAACTTATCTCTTACCGACAATGAATGTAAGTACTTATTCTAAGATACAGAGTAGCAACCACATTGCATCGCACTTTATCCCAAAATCAGATATTCCTAATTTGCCGATAATGCAGTGCCTTTAAACTCTATGTAGTAGTAATTGGATCAGTAATTTTGTTATCTGTTACAGAGCATCAAAGCCGTGATTGTGTGTTGCCTTCTGGTGGCCGTCTCCGCCGGTGTAGACCGAAGTAGAGGAGGACAAGGATCCAACAGATTCCTTCCTGGAGGGTTGGCTGGCGTCCACGGAGGCGGTGTGTTTGGCGGCGGTATTCATGGTGGTGGAATCCATGGTGGAATCCACGGTGGTAGTGCTATTATCGGAGGTGGAATCTCCAATGGCCCAAGTGAATGCAGATATTGGTGCAAGACTCCGGAGGGTCAAGCCTACTGCTGCGAGACGGTGCATGAACCAGAGACACCTGTTGGCACCAAGCCACTGGATTGCCCACAAGTTCGACCCACATGCCCACGTTTCCATGGGCCTCCCACAACCTGTTCCAACGACTACAAGTGTGCTGGCCTCGATAAGTGTTGTTTCGACAGGTGTTTGGGAGAACATGTGTGCAAGCCTCCCTCATTTTTCAATAATCATCTCCCATTTTAAATCTTGTTATATTTAATAGATAATTAGCAAAAGTAATTTATAAATACATATTTTAATAAATCCGTATATGTTTAGATCTACTTAAATTTCTTTATTCCCTTCATCTAATCACTCTGATATTAGGTATTTGGAATTATGTATTGTGATGCATCTTTAATTTCCT